TTGTGAAGATGAGTGGGATATAATTAAAAATATTATGAAAGCTATGAAGCCTTCTTTTATATTGACAAAAATTCTTCAAATGAACGATTAACATTGGGCGATTTTTATGCTGCTTGGCTAAATTGTCTAATAGAAACACAAAAGGTACAAACACCTTTTTCTCAGCACCTTTCAACATGTATCAAGGCAAGAGAGGCGAATATTAGAAATGATGCCTTTTGTGCAGCCTTATATATGGACCCACGTTATCAGATATTGCTGACAGAAGATGGAAAATTGACTGCCAAAGATAATTTAAATAAAACATGGAAAGCAATTCAGGTCCACATATTTTATTTAGCCTTATTTTGATTATTGTCCGGATTTATTTTAAAAGTTATTTTTCATTTAAAATATATAGGCCTTGGAAAATGATGATAGCCTAGAAATGTGTTGCATAATATATTGTTAAAAAAGATTCACCTAATATTATATTGTATTTTTATATACGAAGCCTTTAGCCACAATTGATTGACCATAAATTGATTTACGATAGATATATATATTGAGATTTGTGAAAACGAATTTAATTGTATCACTTGTTTTTTTTCTTATATTCAATTCTATTTTTATATAATAAATTATTCTGGATTAATACTTTCAAATAAAGACGATATATTTAAATTATTCTAAAATGAACATTTTTCTCTCTTGTTCAATATAATGGAGGATAGTAATAATAACATAAAAGTCTTACTCAAAACCCTTGACCTAAAATTTATTGCCGAAAACATAACTGATGAACCTACTAAGAAATTTAAACTGTTCGAGACAATTAATAAAGATTTGGCGGTGAGTATAATGGATTCGATTGATAATTTATCTTATGAACAAATGAAGGATTTAATACAAAAAAGGTTGAAAAAAACAAAATTACTCGTATAATGGAAGTTTTTAGTACTAAACTTAGATAGATTAGAGTCATGCAGAGAATATCTGGATAGGCTGAAGGTGTGCGGATCTGGCCTTAATTCAGAATTGATAGCAGTTCAATTCATTATTAATTGTCACAATGAGAGATTAAAAACAAGATTGATAGAAGAGAACACGACAGACTTGATTATAATTGAGGAGATTGTTGTCAAATGTCAATCATTGGAGTTTAATAATAAAAAGTCCTTCATTGAAAAAGATATATGGAGAAAAGATGACAGATATGGTGCACAATTCTATATGACATGGAATGAAAACAAGCATAATGGTAGGACCTACAACAACAACAACAAAAACAACAACTACAACGATAACAACAACAACAACAATTTTAAAAAAACAAGTGATACAATTAAATTCGTTTTCACAAAATCTCAATATATATATCGATCGTAAATCAATTTATGGTCAATCAATTGTGGCTAAAGGCTTCGTATATAAAAATACAATATAATATTAAGTGAATCTTTTTTAATAATATATTATGCAACATGAAAAATGTTCAATTTAGAATAATTTAAATATATCGTCTTTATTTGAAAGTATTAATCCAGAATAATTTATTATATAAAAATAGAATCGAATATAAGAAAAAAAACAAGTGATACAATTAAATTCGTTTTCACAAAATCTCAATATATATATTTATCGTAAAATTTATGGGCAATCAATTGTGGCTAAAGGCTTCGTATATAAAAATACAATATAATATTAAGTGAATCTTTTTTAATAATATATTATGCAACATGCACCTCCTCCAAAAAAAAACAAACAACAAAAAAAACAAGTGATACAATTAAATTCGTTTTCACAAAATCTCAATATATATATCTATCGTAAATTAATTTATGGTCAATCAATTGTGGCTAAAGGCTTCGTATATAAAAATACAATATAATATTAAGTGAATCTTTTTTAATAATATATTATGCAACATGCAAAATGGATATATTGCAATCTACCTCTAGCTCCAAAGATCATAAAACAGATGATGAATTAGAAAAGATACTGATAGCCCGTGAGGTTATTTTTAATTTAAAATATATAGGCCTTGGAAAATGATGATAGCCTATAAATGGATATATTGCAAGCTACCTCTAGCTCCAAAGATCATAAAACAGATGATGAATTTGAAAAGCTACTGATAGCCCGTGAGGTTATTTTTAATTTAAAATATATAGGCTTTGGAAAATGATGATAGCCTAGAAATGGATATATTGCAAGCTACCTCTAGCTCCAAAGATCATAAAACAGAGATGAATTAGAAAAGCTACTTATAGCCCGTGAGTCGGAATTTAAAAAAGCTAGTTCAAATGCACACAAAGAACATAATATTAGAAATATTATTGAATCGTTTGAAGGTGTTGAAAGGATCGACAAAAAATCATCAGTTTTTATATTTTTGGAATCGAAAAAATTTGAATATCCAGAATTGCATAAACTTGCTCTTATAACACTGGCAGTTCCAGCAATCCAAGTTTCCGTAGAAAGGGCCTTTACGGGGCTAAAATTTGTGTTATCGCCTCAACGAACAAATATGAATCCATTTATATTAGAAAACATATACTTATACGTTCAAATAATATATTTAAAAATGAGTTATTTTGAATCATATATTTTTTTTATATATAATTTATATATGTTTATAATAAAAAATAAATTAGTGATGGCAAAATTTTTAATAAATTTATAATTAAAATCATTATATGATAGTGTTGCTTCAATAAAAAAAAATTTCTAACTGGAATGAACCTTTATAATTAGCTGAACCGAACCGAACCCTTATAAATTTATTCTTAAGAACCGTAACCAGAACGTAACCATTATAATTTTTACATACTGAACCGTTATAAATAACGGGGTCCCTGAAATTCAGGGACATAATTTTTCAATTACAAGCATGAGCTTTCGGTAATACTTCAAGCACTAGTGAGATCTTGGCAGTTATGGAAGCCAAAGTGATGGCGAAATCGTTACCAACTCTCTTTTATCAAAAAAATCGAAAATGGTAAACCCCACGTAAATTTAAATATTACAGTGCCACATGTTATTTTAGACGATGGGGCCTAGCCTCTAAAAATAATTTTGAGAAGCCATATATTTGAACTATTGAAAGGAGAATGGTTGAGTGTATGTTTGGGCTAATAACTAGTAAATGGAGATTTTTATTTAATGAAGTTGAAGTTAGTGTGCTTGTATTTGAAGACATAATAAAATCCTGTTGTGTTATATAAATATTATTTTAGACAAAGAAAATATAAATATATCCATTTGTGAACCTATGAATTCAGGACTCAAATATGGAATCAGCTAAGTATTAAAAATACAACTATCAAAACAAAGACATATGAATTAGTTTTGCAATTATTTTAATAATATTGATATTTAGTCATGGCAAAAAAATAAAATTTTGAACTATTTTTATATTAAAAATATATCAGTATTTTTTTAAAAAATTGATTGCTTACTTATAATAATCATTTTTTATTAATAGTGAATCTGCATCGGGCCTAATTTTTCAAGCCCGGACCGAATTTTTTTATAAAGTTTTGCCCAGCCCGGCCCGAAATTTTTTTAAAAAAATTTGGCGGCCCGGCCCGATCCGAATTTATTTAAATATAAAAATTTATTTTTATAATTACTCAAAATAAACGTTATGTTACTTGACGTCTACTTTCTATAAAAAAAATCACATATTTTTATTTTACATAAAAAGTTCAACATAAAATTGATAGTTAGATATATTTTAAAAAATTCTAAGGCCCGACCCAACCCGGCCCGAATTTTCTTAAAAAATATTAGGTCCAGCCCTGCAGATCTCTAGTTACAATATAATATTTTTATATCTACCATTGAAAATATTTTATAATATGTTTACCATGGAAAATATATTTAAAATAAATTTATTTACAATTGAGTATATATTTAAAATAAAATATATATTTTATTTAATTGACTTTTGTACATAAAGATCATATGTAAGATTCATCTTAACTTTATCTTTGTGATGTAATGGTAGCATTGATAGTTACTCATCTATATATCTTGCAAAAGCTGAGGATCTGTTTTTCATTCCTCAATATTGATTATTTTCTAAAATAATACCTCTTTAATTTTTTTTTCATTTTGAGATAATGAATTTGATGGTAAATTCTCATTATTTGCTAATTCGCTAGGTTCATCTATAGTAACTATATCTGGTGTTGGGATAATAATAAAATTATCGAGATTAGATATTTGAGAGCGTGGTATGAATGATCTATTTAAAAATGATAATGATTGATATAAAGGCCACGAAGGTATATATGGTGACCCTGCTGAACCACATGGTTTTTCAATGTTTTCATATATTCTGTGGTATTTATTGTATACAAAATAAAAGAAAAATTGATTCATAAAATTCTATAAGACTATTCTCACTTTTTTGTCAAAATAATAAAATTATATTAATATTTAAATAAAAAATTTGAGTTAGTTTAAATACATTATATTTTAAATGAGAGCAATCGAATAGTCAAGCATGGATATCATGTATTATAATTATATATATCAGAGACCTGCAGGCCCAGCCTGGGTATAAGGCCTAGACCGGGAAGCTTAATATTCTTGCATTTGCAGATGATCTTTGTCTGGTGGGAGAATCATTATTACACCTTCAATTCTTAATGGATAATATTATCGGTGAAGCTGAATTCTTTGGGTTAGAAATAAACATTAATAAAACTAAGATGATAACCTCAATTCACTCCTCTGCAAGTGAATATAATGATACAAGGGAAGTCGAGAAGTACAACATTTAAAATATTTAGAAGTAATATTAGACAGAAAAGGAAATACCAAACAAGATTTAATAGTAAAATTAAATAGAGCTAGAATAAAATATAGGTCCTTAATGAAAATATGGTCTTCAAGCCAAATATCAATTCCATTAAAAATCCGACTATTCAAAGCTAATACTCTCTTCCTTACATTATGGTATTGAAATTGTAGCGACACAAAACAGGAAAATAAAAAGATGCAAACTTTTGTTAATAAATGTCTTAGATATATAACCATAACCTTCTTCCCTGGTAATACAACTAACTATATTCTATGGTCCAGATGCGACACAATTCCAATTATAGAATGATAGAATACAGGAAAATAGTACTAGTAGGACATGCTTAGACAAGCTCCTAACAATCTAATATATCAAACACTCTTTAAAATATCCCCGTTGACCCTCAAATCCTTCCTAACCTATAAAAATAGTTGGTTCGGCAAGATAACTCGATCATTAGCGGAGATAGGCATATCCTGGGAATTCATTAACCGAGCTTCTTCTGATAGGAAAACTTTCTTTTAGAAGGGTAATTATATAACCATTTATTTTTTTAAAAAGAAGGAAGATCTTTAATTCTATATCGATCGCCAGTATCTAGTATAATATTTTTAAGATATTTTAAGAAAGCCTCCAATATTCTTTAACTGTTAATATTTAATAAATGATATCCAGCTTTTATATAATTAATGACTGTTGAAAGAAGTTACTTTAAGAAATTGATATTGCTTTTTTATAAATGAGAACTGATTGAGGGGAAGTTATTTTTAAGTAATGAAATAAGATACTCTATAGTGGTTAATTCAAAATAGATATTATCCAGTCCCAATTTTATTCTTATAAAGTAATAATGTATAAAAAGGTTATCTAAAAATTCATTCGTTGCGTAAAAGCATAATTAATCATGACTAGGACAGACTCATATAGAGGTAGATCAAGAGATCCATATAGGCCTAAATAAAGAAAGGTTCCAATTATATAGTGAAATTTAATATAAAGTTAGATATCCCATCATACTATTTATAGGACTTCAGTACTAAGTAAGATAACTAATATGCCATGTACAGTTATAGGAAAATAATGTTATAATTTTTAAATACTAATTATCTTACAACACTTAAACAAAAATTAACTAGGTTTTTCATAACATTCTTAGACCGATTACATAATATGTACTAAGTTTATAAAATTTCTCAATATAGGATAATTACTAAATAATTTTTAAATACTTATAACACTTAAACAATTAACCAGGTTTTTTTGTAATGCTTGACTGATTACATAATATGTACAAAATTTATAAATCTCTCAATATTTAAACAGAAACCCTAACAATTAAATAAAAACATTTGTATTTGTAAGAAATAGTTTTCTTTTTTTCTCTCTTTTCCTTCTTATCTTTTCTCCTATATACTCATAACTATACTATACTCTAATACTATAATTGGATAGGGCTTAGTTCAACTCATTATGATAAAACATCTGAGTAACAAGGTTTGTTGGTACCCTTGAGAAAAAAAATTGGCATAATTATATGGAGGGCAGGTCTCCGTGTAATTCTCGTTCGCTCACCTTGGGCAGGTCTATGACTAACTTGCTTGATATGATATGATAATCGTTGAGTAGTCTATGAATATATTCCAGTTAATTTAATTTTAATATTAAACGAAAGGGGGAAAAATAATAAAATGATTATATAAACTATTTATATATGTGAATTCATATCAAATTAACTAAGGTTTCAACGCGACCCCATCAGAATTTTTTTAAATTTTGTATATTGGTAATATATACTATAACTAAAAAAAATGAAATTTTACTTTCTTACACCACTAACTCGCAAAGAAATGGGGTTTAAAGAGCGAAAAATGGTACATTTTTCATTTCTAACAAAATGCACTTCATTAACTTCCAAATATCTAAAAATTATAATATGTTAGAGCAATAATTTAAATTTTATCATATAGCTTAATAATGGATCTTTAATATGACAAATAAATGGGTCATTCCATGACAAATCAACCATGATTCGGCCGACCCCCTTAGATTTTTTTAAAATTTAGTAAGCAAAGAAAGGTTAGTGTAGTTAAGAAATAGCCAAAATTTTAGCCTCGTAACATTTATATTTTTGGAGATATTAGGTTCAAAGTGGCAAAAATGACGTATTTTTACCATTATCTGCCTTCATTCAATTAAGCATATCTTAGAAACTATCTAATTGTAAATAACAAATTTAATATCAAAATTACGTACAAAGATTCTACTTTTAGATAAAAAAAAAATTTTTTTTTCAATTTCCGGCCATTTTATTAAATATATAAGGAGTAAAAACGATTTTTTAGAAATAATACGACCTTCAATTTTTTTAAAAAATTTAGTAGACAACACTGAACTATACCGGGCTCCTTTATATTTGTAGAAAATCCTAGACTGGGATGAACGTGGGTCTAAGAGTTATGACCCTTTATATGGCTAAAATTGATCAAATTTAACATAAAAATCATCTTAAATTTAATGAATAGTTACGTAATAATTTTTATTTAAAAATTGTGTCTAAATAAAAGGCCCTTACTTTATTATTTAAAAAATAATATTTGAGAGGTGGGAAAATATGGTTTATTTAACACTTTGGTTAATTTTCTCTCGAAATTACGTGACAAAATATTCTAAACATATTTATAACTTTATTTGACTAAATAATTCTATAAAATCAAAAATTTATAATATATAAAAATGTTAAAATATATCATATATTAAATCGCCCGAAAAACCTGAATAAGTTTTGACTTTCATTTTATTTATAATATGTCACAACATAAATCAAATTTAGCCAATAGTATTCTTTTAAAAATTATTCGTCCAATAAAATCATCATGCAAATGGTTAGGATTTAGATTTCACAGTATCAATGTTTAAATTATCAATATATTAACTTATAATAAAGATCTTATTGAAGAATGAATCCATGTCATGAGAAGATGCAAACTAATTCAAAACTCTGGAGAACAATTTACCAAAGAGTGCTTTGTGCCTTCTATTTTGAAAACCCTTAGGAAGAATCCAATCCCACAATCTAATAAATATTTGAATTTATATTTAATAAGGTAATTTTTATGCATAAGTAAACATTTGCATTTATATGATTACTAGCTAATAGATCATCAATATTAACAAAGAATTAGAATTTTCTCCTTATTTTGTTGATGGATGAATAAAAAATTCCCATTTTATTGATGGACAAATTAGAAAATAAACATATTTATAATTCTAGGAAGTTGTTAAATTAAAAACCATGCTTTATATATTATCACTTTTATGAAATATCATAGGTCTGTAATTTTGCAACTCCGTAAATCAATGTAATTTTTATCATGGAAGCAGATTTTGGTTTTGTTATTAAAAATGTGTCTTTTTAAATTGGCTTCAAAGAAATTTAAGATTTTATACGAAATTATAAGTGAGTAGGATAAAAACCATCACGTCTGGATGTAAAAAAATTGTTAAAAGAATTGATAAATCCATTTATTTCTCTATTAGATAAAATTCATATAATCATATTTATTTTATTCCATATTTTTCATAATATATTTGGCCTTTTCTCTAAAAATTTATAGAAGGCAGAATGAATACGGATAATCTATTCCTTTCATTTGACTATTGATTAAAGACAAGATTCTTTTAACTTTGGCATTATGAGCTGATATAGAAAAAAAATGAAGCTTGCTATAATAGCAGTTCACTATATTATTTAATGATTGGAATATAAGTGAAATCAGATCAATTTTTGGTGAAGAGCATATTTGCATATTCAACATCAGATTTTATAAGTAACAATTTAAAGTTGCAAAATTGATGAAACAACTTTGACTCATTAAAGAAACATTTTAATTTTTAGACTTTTCCAAATCTGACTACTTGTGAATATTTTTAATTTTTAGTGTTGTAAACATTTTTTTAAAAATCGAACGGGTTAGCGTTCAACGTTAATTGATAAAAATAGAACGTCTTCACGTTCACCTTCAAAAAAAAGGAACGCGTTGACGTTCGTTCAAATTTTTTTTAAAATTAAATTAAGAAAAATAAATGTCTTATATTTTTAAACACAATATATTAGCCATGTTAAAAAATAATATAGTTTTATTTTCATAATATAATTATAAATGCAATATAATATAGCGAATAAAAAGATAATTTTATTTATAAAAAATTCTTATTAATTTTTAATAACTGTTTTTCAAAATTTTCATCTGATAGAGCGAGAACGCTTGACAGTTAATACGGCATTAGCTATACTAAAAATGCGCTCTACATACCACACTCTGACAGCGTTTCGCATATAGCTTCATGTTAACATTATCAAAAGCTCTACTGAAAGTGAAGTTATTTTATTGGCTCAAGTATGTTTTTGTTTGGTCTGTACGCGCATATGTATTTGGGGAAAAGATGAAGTGTGGATGATATGATTTTATTTTTTAAGAACCTAAATTTTTGTGGGTCTTTGTTTTAGGAAAATTACAAAGGAAGGATTTGTTCCATTCGACTAGAGTATTTCCGTTCTCCCATATTTTATTGAAGAGGGCTAGGAGGTAGGAAGATAATTTCATAGGTGCGATTTTAGGTATTTAGCTGTGATATTATCCAGTTGAGCTTTGTTTTTTCGTAGTTTTTTCACATTTGATATTTTATTTATGGAGAAACCAGACGGGAATGGTACGAGGTTTGTATTTATGTTTGTTGGTAGAGTTGCTTTCCGCGAGTCGAAGACCATCATATAATAATTAATCCATAATGCCATTTTTTTGTCCTGGTTAATGATTGCTTTTCCGTTTTCTAAAATTATAGAGGGGGGTTTTCTAAAACTGCGAGGTTTACAGAAATATTTTAATTTTTTATAGGCGTCATAAATCCTATTTTCTTTCATATCTTTATCGATATCACTTTTTTTGATAAGTAAATCCGTCTATCACTCCGCAATAATCTCTGTATGTTCAAAGTCGTTATTCGAGCCATTCTTCATTTTTAGTTGATTTATTTTTTCTAATGTCTCACTAAACATTCATTCTTTCCTAAAAAAGACTTACATTTGACAAATCATCGTATGATTCTGCAAGATCATTTTTAAATAGTTTCCAGCATACTTCTACATTTCCGTGCATAGTTATGTTTAAGAAGTACCTTTTTTTTTATTTAATACTTGATCAAAAATTATTACATCTTCCAGCGTTTGTAATTTAATGAGTTTATGTATAAAGTTGTTTTCAAATGAATTTTACTAGATTCAGTCGAGTTTTGTCTAATTCTGTAAACCATTGGTGAATATTAGAGATGAAGAAATCAATTTTGGATTTCTGCTGACTCACGAAGGTGTATGTTTATTTCTAGGTGGCAAAAAAAGGTATTTTCGATTTTAAAGTTCTTGTTTCTGCAGAAATCAATAGTTTCTTGCTATCCTAGTTATTCGATTGTTGTATGGTAGCAGCATTCCAGGTGACATTACTGTTTACATATTCTGCTTCTTTACTAATTTTC